CTAAGCCACTAAGACAGCTACTGCGCCAGCATTCTACTGGATGGTGGTTTAGGAACTCAATGCTCCTGGAGGCTGTCTGTCTTAATGAAGTTTGTCAAACCTGATATTTTAGTTGCTAAGAAGAAATAGGGACCTTTTTTTGCTTGAAATATTGAACCTCTTGTTAAATGCAGTTTCGACTGCTTCACTAAATAAGACTGATCTGTTCGTGGTGTTTGGATCCTTTATTCCCTAATAAGTTCTATATGGAGGAAGACAATTGAGCCTCTGAGCTCTCATTTTGTGCTACCATTTTGTGTTTTGAGCAACAGTGAATGGCCTATATCTGATGATTTTATTTGTTTTGCATCACTCTATTTTAGTGAGCTAGTGTTTCTTTTCTCTTTTTTTTTTTTCTTTTTAAATATCTGAAGGTATGGTGCCTGAGTATTGGCTCACTGAGGGCGGCCAGAGTGCCACAGGGGCATTATTGGATTATGTAATTGAAAATCATGTTGCCTCACCCCACCTTGTAAAATCTGCCGCTTCACGAAGTAAGTAATTTTTTGTTTGTTGCATTATTTTATTGTACAATTTTATTTCTTTACAAGTCTGTCCTGGTATGCAATGAAGTTGGATGTTGTCTTAATTCATTATAACTTCTAGGAATCTCAATTTTCGAGCTGTTGAATGAGATACTGGAGACAATGAGGCATGAGCTGGGTTCTCCATTTCTTGCTGCTTTGACTAATGATACACATGTTCTTCCCGACTTTCATGGTAACAGGTGATTTTCAAAGATGAGTAATGCCTTTCACATACAGTATGTTGGGCAATTTTGAGAAAATATCTACTAACACTTTGGTATAGATCTCCCATTGCAGACCCTAAATCGAAAGGAATGCTGTGTGGCTTAACTCTTGACACTAGTGAAAAACAACTAGCTCTTCTATACCTTGCCACAGTACAAGCTATTGCATATGGCACACGTCACATTGTAGAGCACTGCAATGCCCATGGACACAAAGTAAGAGTGCCATGTTATTGTTGATATTGCAATAAATTCTTGTCCTATCTATGTGGAGTCCAAAATTCACTCGAAATATGATGTTGCTACCTGATAATAACACATTAAAATCAATATAATTATTTATGTATATTAACCATTCTGAACAAGAAGGAAGTTGTAAGAACTAATTTAATATATCCCCTCATTGAACTTCAGCTTTTTACTTTCCAGTAAGGTCCATCCCTGTTGTCATCTGATTCTAGCAAAAGTTTCTGCCTTTGTGGGTGATTATTTTTATCCATCTTTAAATTCAAAATTTGAAAAATTTGAGCACTTATTTTAGACTCTGATTTATATGGGAGGAACTCCCAGATACATATCTAGAATGTGCAGAATAAGAAGACTTCTTTGTTGTGCATATTCTTGGGATATTTCATGTGAACTTGTGCGAATCCACCATGATCATGACCAAGAATTCTTATCAGCTTTCAATTTAATGAAATTGATTGCATTTGCCAAGACCTTACTGTGAAGCTTTCTGCTATGTTTTAATTTCAATTATATACTGTAAACCCAAAGGTGTTTTGTAAACTGGGTTATGAAGAGCAGCCCATGAACTAGGATGCTGTTTACTAAAGATCATGTGTACTCCTTTTTTGGCGAGAAGCCAGGGGATGTTACATCATACCATGCTTAAGTTGTCCTATTTAGCATTATTTTAAGAATTGGTACTGATTGATTGTCAGGATTTATTTTTGTCTGGAGTCTATTGTAACAGAAGAATTGGACTGTGCAATTGACTGAGTTAAAAATATGTCTGTGTATATTCCCGCTGTTGATGTACTATAATTATTTTATTTTTCTGGACTTTTGATTGTAGTGTATTATACTAGAGCTATTTTTCTCCAATGGGGTACCTGTTGTCCAGTCTCGCATTTCATGAGTTTTGCTGTTAAATTATCATATTTAGATAGTGAAAGGAAATGCAATACAGGTTTGTGCCTGTTGGGGGTTTTTTGTTTTAAGAGGGGGGGGGGGAGATAGAGAGAGTTTACCACTTCAGTTGCTCCATTTTCATGGTAATAGTATAAGTTGTGGTAAATTAAGTTGAATCCATGTTGACCCTGTACATAGATCAATAAAGTTGCGCTCCCTATGCTATTTGCTCGACAGTAGTTCATTCCGAGTCATTTACATGATTTTGCTCCCAGGTTGATACATTGCTCGCTTGTGGAGGACTTGCAAAGAACCCGCTTTATATCCAAGAACATGCAGATATAATCGGTCTCTCTCTCTCCCCCTCCCCCCATTTCTGTGTTGTTTTCTTTTTCTCTGTGCACTGGTTATCTGTGTGCATTACTTACTTATCCTCCTATCCAAAAATGTCCAGTTTTATGGGTAAAGATGTTTAGTCAACCCGCAGCATTCAAAGTATGTGGAATCGTAACATATTTAAGTAAACTTCATGAAATTTTATCAGGTTATCCTATAATTTTACCACGGGAAAATGAATCAGTGCTTTTGGGAGCTGCAATTCTGGGGGCTGTTGCTTCGAAGAAATACACTACAATCCGACACGCCATGAAGGCATTGAATGCAGCTGGTCAGGTACATGAACCTTGTTAACATCTGTTTGGTGATAAATTCTTGCTTGGAGGGGGAGGGGAACCGGCTGTAGTTTATTTATTTTGGGAAGGTATGATAAACCAATGTGATGGCGAGTTGCATGTTACGAGACGTATGACATGGGATGCTACAGTAAAATAGTTTGGAAGATTCTTCAACTCCTGGAATTTTCCAAAGTAAAATAGGAGTTTTCAAGTTTTGACAGAATGAACAACTAAAGCATCTGATGCATGAGATTTGCGCGTTTATGTATGTCTACTTTACTGTAAATTAACCCCAGCAACTGATTGGGTTTGGATTAGCAAGTACCTTACATATATGTCCATTTATTGCAACTGTACTGGAATGTGTAAACTTCATGAAATGTTTATGTTATAATCTTATTTTAACAATGTTTATCCTCGAAAAGGAACAGATGAAAAATCTCATTGAAGATTTAGACCGGTCATGCAAATTTAGGTTGCTTGACTTGAGCAAGAATTTGATGAGTGAATAATATTCAAACTGAAAGTTAATACTTTATCAAGCTTTTATCCGGTCTACCATTTCTATCTTCAGTTGCGTCTAGTTTACTAGGTGAGGCAAACTTGAGGTTTAAAATTATGGTGATTATGTTGGTCTGGAGGTAAGTTAGATTGGTTTAGTTTGAAATGCATTTATTTTTTCAGTGTGGGTGCTTAGAGTTTGCCATAACACAATCTGGGTCCGTTAAGTTGAATGAACAATTATACAGAACAAAGTACGAAAGCTAAACTGATATAAATTTCTAGCAGCTGAAAAATGACTACCACTCGGGAGACTCAAATGTGCCAGATTGATTATAATCTGTCAACCCTTGAATTTCTTTTCTTAAATCCTTTGTTCTTTCATTTATTTTCGCTTTTTGTTTCTATTTTTTGGTCCAAATTGCATGCTTCTATGCTGGCAGGTTGTCTACCCTTCCCAAGATCCTAAGGTGAAGAATTACCATAATGCTAAATATCATATCTTCCGTGGACTTTATGAGCAACAACTGGAGCATCGTTCAATCATGGCTAAAGCTTTAGCATAGGAGGCATTTTCGTCGCAGCTACAAAAAGTCCAAGCAACATGTTATAGAGAAGCAAATCAGGTAGATGAAGGCAACTTCGATTTATAAATGGTACTTTCTATTTGTAAACCGTAGTGGAGTGATATGCCTCAATATATCTCTCAGCCTTTTGGATGGCATGAAATTTAAGAAAGCTATACTGTTACAGGTCTTTTGGATGCTTATTGCGTTTACTTTTGCTAAATTCACTTCTTATAATTTGAAGAATGAAAGTAATTCCTAAGTTGGTTGAACCAAAATTTATTTTTACTACAAAATCGGACTCTAATGAAATACTATTAAAAAAAGGAGGAAAAAAAAAAGAACAGGAGTCAATCTCATGGAAGCTGAATTACCCAAACCACCCATTGTCGTCCTCCAATCCTTTGCTTTACTACTTCATTGTTGTCTCCAACCCACCGTCTCTGGAGCACCATTATGCAAGTGTAAAATGAATGGAAAAGAGGATATATGGGTCAAACCTCTCAATCTGGACGGTATATGGGCTTCAGAAAGAGAGTGATCTTAGGGACGGAATTATCTGCTTAAACTAGGAATGAGGTAGCATGCTAGCTGGATTCTGCATGCACGTATAAGACTTTGCAGGCTTCTTTTACGAAGTATGTGCACGTTTGTTGTTAATTTTGATTTCTCTATTGTCCAAAAGCCATGAGATCTTAATCAGCTCTGTGGTGCAAGGCGCCAGAGATGGTCCGTAGTTCAATTAAAATTCGATCAATTTCACATGGGAGGAAATATTCCTGAACTGGGAAAGCTGCCAAATTTGCAAGTTCTGGGATCTGACCATATTAAGTTTGTGGTGAGATTGATAGTAGCGTTTCTGGGCATGCATGAAGTAATACTTTAACAGACAATGTGCTTGAAGGGGGCAATATAGATTGTGCGGTATTCCTGCAAAATTTGGTCTCATTCAAAGAATTGATATAATGTGTTGGTGGCACTTAAATGTTTGATCATGGTTTGGGTGAGCCTGTGATTCATTGTAATTTAAAGCTGGCCAAAATCCTCAGAATGAAGCAACTGTACTAGGTCGATCTTGATCTTAGACCATATGCATTGGGAACTGATTGATCACAATAATCATATAGGATACAGAGGACAAGCTGTGCTTCTTTCTTGCTTTTGGAATAGCTTGTACGTTGTACAAAATCTTTGTAGTAAACGATGAGAAAACTGAGAGCAGTCGAGCAAAAACAAATTTCTTTTCATTCCAAATTTATTTTGCATTCTGCGAGGATGTCATCTCCAGAAGAGTTGTGACTTGTGAGAGGAACGGTCAAGATTTGAGGAAGCTGTTCAATTTATCATATAAAGAGTCCGAGTCAATACATAGTTCTGATTGATAACCAGCTGGAAAGCCACCCTTTTCCTTGGGTCGCTTACAGCTGCTAGGACATGGCCGTTCTCTTGAACAATAAATTGATATATTGATCCCCCGCCAAGGCTCGTTAGGTTATGGCCCTTCTTTTCTGGAAGTTCGAAGTGGTCTTCAATTACGTACCGTGGTCCAGTTTCCATATTGCAGTATGTTAGGGTGCAACTGCATGAGCATGACCAGATCATATTGTTATCATCCTTCTTGCTGCTGCTACGAGCCTATGACCACAACTGTTATTGCTGCTACTTGCATGAAAGTATGAAAATTGTGTATATAGTAGTATGGAAGTGCATGATAACCTGATGATAATATCTTGGAGCCATGACTGCTGAGAGTGGATCCATCCTATTGGCAAAATGACTCAGAAACACCTCCGTGGTTCCAGGAATTATCTTTGCTCCAACTAGTGCTTTCAACTGCTCATCCTAGTTAGTGTGCAGTGACAAGTAGATCAAATGAGTTTGACTGTTGAACTTCAGCTGAATTACTAGAAAATATTCGACAATTACAAGCAAAGAGGAAGGAAGCAGTACCTTGAGGACAATGGTGGGAGTCTTGGATGACAATGGCCGTTTAAAGGGACAGATGAAGTTAGGAGGAGCAGGTGGTGCATCATCTCCGGTGACATTTTCGGGGATGGAGAAGTCGACCATCTCATTGTTGAGGACAATTCCTCGTACTCGGGGAGAGATGCAGTGCCCCAAAATATGAATTTATGGCAGTTATCATGGAAACTGCATTTCTTTCACTATCTACGATTGACAAGTGACTGGTTCCATGGTCAAGCATCAGTTTCCACTCGTAAATATCAGCAACTCCATAAGAAATATAAGAGGAAGGATATCAGCGCAGAGGTTCCGATTTTGAAGATAAAAAGTCAGGCGAGAATGCTACTGAGAATTTGGGAATTATTGACTTGATAAATTATTCTTAGTAGATTAGTCCTCTTCAAGATATTAGCAAACCTAACGAGCAATTGGTTTCTTTGAGGTCCCTATTCCTTGAGAAGCCAAAATCATGTTTTTCGTTAGGTTAGTTACCTGCCACCATAATAATTTGAGTCGAAAGTCATGTTATCATATATGGTTTTCTTTAGCTCAGCTGCAAATTCAGGAGATTGCATATCTGATAGTTCTTTCTTCACATCAACAAAATCAGGATCCCCAAGATTCATTCTCACAGCAAATGCATGTTTTAGAGATTCGATTTCTCGATGAATCTGAAAGTGATGAGGAAATATTTGAAGTATCTTCATATTGAATAGGATATTCAGAATCTGCCAGCAGACAAGCAAAAGCACCTTTTTCCTTTATCCACATTTCATGTTCATGCTAGAAGGACAGTGTGACTAATGAAACTTACAAGAATCATAGCGGTACCACCGGAAGACGGAGGTGGCATACCAAGTATTTTGAGGCCCTTTAACTTCATTAACCAAAGGTTCTCTAAGTTCGACTTGATATTGCTTCAGGTCATTCATTTTCAGGATTCCTCCAGCCCCCATTATGTCTGTAACAAGATCAACTGCAATTAATCCATTGTAAAACGCAGCCACACCATATTCTGAGATTTGTTTTGACGTTCTAGACAGATTCTCATTTCGACAGATTTGGCCTGCTTCCAATAGCCTCCCTGCAAATATTTTGCTCAGTCCTTCATCAGCTGAAATTCCTGATTCCTTGCTTTCCATCTGCATGGGAGATATTTTGATAGTTCGAATCCCTCTCGAGCAAGTCCCTCTACTGGCTTCACCAGCCTCTTCCAGGGAAGCCTTCCGTATCTTTGCCAAGCATTGTAAAGGCCTGCAAGCTCCCCTGGAACTGCAATAGACAGTACACCTGCTTTCCCATTAGGATTTTGTGCATACATACCCTAATGCAAATATGGTCTACTATTGCAAATATGTGTACCTCAGAAGCTAATCCTGGTGCAGTTTCTCTCGCGTCGAATGCTTTTACCTCGCCATCATGCGATCTTACACGCATAAATGCACCTCCACCTATTCCACCGGAAGCAGGGTTTACAACACAAAAGCAAAGAGCAGCAGCTACTGAAGCATCAACAGCATGGCCTCCTTCAAGCAGAATACGCCTCCCAGTTTTGGAACATCGTCCACCATCCATTGCAACAGCACCATGATGTAGTCTAATGATCTCTCGCCTAGATTCGATGGAAGTAATAGTACAAGCACCAATTGTTGGTATCGTGAATAGCAAAAGAAAGAGAAACGCAATAACTGGCCTTGATGATACAACTGGAGCTGAAACAAATTGAGATGATCTTGTTAGTTTGTTTGGCAGTCAAATCAGTTCAACTCAGATCAATTGATCAAACCCTATCCTAACGTTCCATGATCATCAGGATGGACTTTTTGTTTCCAAACCTTTTGTGACATCCCTAGACAGGAAATAAACTGCGACAGCGCGGTATATATCTAAGTTATCTACTTCAGTAAACATCAGGTAATCAAAATTAAGCATCATTTTGAAAAGAAAAATCAAGGCATTCCAAGCTTTTCCGATGACATATGCAGAATCAAGTTTGTAAGTATAGTATACTACAAACATCGGACTTGAAAGGCTAAAAAGGATGTATGCCAGTTGTATGCAGTACTAGAACAATTAACAAAGTGAAGAAACTCAAAACACTTGAAAATTTCAACGATAAAATCACTATTTGCATGGCTTATCCCAATGATCCGTATGATACATGTGTCTTGATGCAATAAATGAAAAATAAGGCAATAAAAGGAAAGAAATATGGAAACCAAGTACCATATCACTTCTCATCACAAAACGAATAGTAAGACGGTAAAAAAAGAAAGAAATATGAAAACAGGATATCCTGTTACTACATGACATTCTCGTCCTTTTCTCTTTTGTGTTCTACTTCTTTGTTCTACTTCTGTCTAATGCAAGAAACTTGCCATTTATAACAGAAATTAGTCCATGTGACAATTTTTGAACGATCTTAATATATCAATATCGCAGCCTTTTTGTCCCTGGTCAATTGTAATCGAAATCCTTGAGGTGGCAAAATCCAGTTGTAATGTAGCAGGTCAAAAGGCTCATTATATTAGTTAAAGCTGCAGGAAACCTTTGGGCATTAAAATATGTAAAAAAAAAAAAGAAATTTGGTGATTTGTCATTACAGATCTCAAGATGTCAAGTTCTTCATTGCTTGACTTCGAAAATGGGGGTACCGCGAAATATTTGGGGCAGTGCCCTGTTCATAAGATGAGTAGACACCACTTAAAAAGGCTGCAGATAGTTCAATAAACATGCCATGATTATACTCCTAGGGAGTGCCTGGTTCTAATTTTTTTTCTGTTTCATGTACAGTGTGTCAATTGTTGTATTCCATAGAAAAACCCAACGTCAATCTCTCTACTTCTGGTCATTATAACGTCTGGAGCTTCCTCCACAAGAATCAGCAGGAGCCAGGAGTATTGCTACCATCTTTGTACACAGGGTTGAAATCAACAGAACTAAAACTAGTAGAAAGTGCTATATAATCAACTGAATAAAATGTCCAAGAGGTGCCAAATATTTTTATCCTCTTCTGGGGTGTTTGATACTCCTAGTCTACTAATAATGGCGAGAGCATCACTTTCCAGGATAATACATACGGGACATGAATACCTCCTACACAACCAATACCCTTCTAAAATATAGCACAAATTTCAGCGTGCTCAGAGCTAATCAATCCCCTTAGGTAATACTATATATGATTATTAAAGTGGGATGAATTTTGTCCCCCTCTCAACTTGACCACACTTTCAATTTCCAAATACGAAGTAAAAATAGAACTAATCACCTTTTGAAACTCGCAAGTAAGAATATTTAATTTGGTCCTAACACAGCACCTTTTGATAATGCATGCATGCAAAATTACAAATACCACTGGACATTAGTTGTGATCTGTTCTTGGTAATTAATTGTCGTTTTGGCCCTCCACTCTTCTATTGCCCATGCAAAGAAAAGCATTGAATTTCTCCCGATCGATGTCTCACAACACACACACACACACACACAAGTAGGTGCTGGTTACCTGCTATTTTTGCCCAGTGTCAACTTAAACTCATGGTTACATCATTCTTTGATTTCAACCATTAGATCCTCCTCACATTGTTGTTGTTTTTTTTTTTCCCAAAAAACAAAAAAAAAAACAACTGCAGTGTGATCAGGTAGTATATTGTATTGATCAAACGACGATAAATTAATTTCATCTCTATTTATGTGCACGGATGCATGATGCACATAATCAAGGAGTTCCATACGAAGCATATAATTAAGGAGTTCCATTAGTTTCTTTCTTATCGTTATAGCTTGGCATATTCAAGCTATTCCATTGATAGGGATAGAAGATACAACAACAGACAACTTGACAGCTGAGCCTATTAACTGTTCTTCTTGACAGAAAAATGATAGTGCATGAACATGAAAAAATAGTAATATAAAATACATGTTGGATTTTTGTGAATGAAAAGAAACTTAGAACTTAATGCGTAAGACGATTGTGTGAATTCACAGAATTCATGGACTTGCTTCTCCCTAATTAGGGCGTGTTTGGCACCCCATAGAATTGGAATTGAGACCCCAATCATAATTCTTGTGTTTGGATGTGACATTTTTCATAGAATTAGCATTGAATTCTAATGCTAAATATCGACAACGCGCAATATCAAAATATTTCGGTATCGCTGTGGTTTCCATCATAGTCGAAGAAAGAATGGAGTTTCAGTTCGAGTTTCTTGGACTTAATAGTACAAATCATGACAAAGAAATTTACTCATGCAAACTGTATCCACATGGACATGATTAACAATTTGGTACTGGACAAAATGCATAATATCTGCAGAAAAGAAAGATAGTTAATGAAAAGACGTTAAAAAAAAAAAAAAAAAAGTGGTCCAGAAAACGAAGGGGGATATTATACTTCATTTTCATGGGGGCATAAAAATGTACATTTAGGTAAAAGCAACCTCAGCCTAGTGTTCACCTTTTATTTAACATAATAAAAATCATTTCTAAGTTTTGACAGACATATCAATGAATGTTACAAAAAGCATCTCTCAATATCTTGCATGAACCCATCATATATTACTCCCTTTTCGAGCAAAATCATCTCTTATGATCAGGAGTTCACAAAAGCTCATATATGGTCTTATGTGGAAAATCATTTCTTATTAAGAGGAAGTTCAAGTGATGTATTTTTCCTTTCTTTTTTTTTTTAGCAGGTAAAAAAAAAAAAAAAAAGAGGAAAAGGTAAGGAAATTAAACGATCCCGCAATTTTGGCAAAACTGAAGAATGACCAATAAAATTTCATAAATCACAATATATTGGTATTGCCATATGCTGTAAATTCTGGCACTTTTGCTTTTTTCCTCGGAACCAGACAAACAGTGCAAGCACTTTGGATTTTTTTTTGTTTTGCATTTACATTTCTTCAGAAACTTCTTTTCTTTGCGAATAAAGATGGGACAGTAGCTAGGGTATTGCCTCCATATTCACCCGATACCACAGAAGATTTCAGGACTTCAATTGTATGATAGCTATTTAGTATTGTAAACTGATTAAATAGACAATAAAATTGGGATTAATATCCAAATCACAATTTACGAACTTTTATCGAATCAAATTCCATATGAATATGAACTTGAAAGTTTATTAAGTTTTAGATTTCATTTATCTATGCTTGAATCGCATACCAAACCAAGAGCATCTATATATTTACCCCAAAAAGGATCTATGACTTTTGAAATTGTTAACATCAATTGCATGATATAATAAACAATGTAGACACTGAACTAAAACAATGTAGACACTAAGACAACGATACGTAAAATTATACAACTTTTGTCACTTACAGGGGCTCCGTTTGGATTAACTGTTTTTGGAGGTGTTTTTGAAAAATTTTATTGTCGCAGAGTTTTCAGAGTATATTTTGGGATATTTTTAGAAAATATTTTGGAATATTTAAGAGTAGTAGAGTTTTTAAAATATATTTTAAAATAATTTTTAAACATTAAAAAAAATTAGATTACATTTTTGAGTACTTTTTAAAATTTTTTATAGTATTTGAGAAAGTAGTTTTAGAAAAACTGAAGGAATATGCAATTTTAATCCAAATTATCCAATTTTAAATCAATCCATCTGCTGCCATAAATTACGCAACGGATCTTCTGTCCCACACTCTGTGTCATTCTCTGTCCCATTTTTTATTATATTGCTATTTCTCCTTCATAAATATCATGTTTTAGTTCTTTTTTGTTTCATTAAGATCCAATAACTATTAATTCAGTAATACACAAAATTTAACAAACTCAAAAAATCAAAATGCATAAAAAATGAGATCTTTTATGCATTTTCTGCTGTATTTTTTAATTTTTTATTATATATTACTTTTTTGAAGCTATTGTATTTATTTAAATTGTCCTTTATGATCAATGCTGTGTGTGGGCTGCTGAGCCAGGGTCTGGATCCGGATCCCTGTCAATGGGTCAATTCGATCGGTGTTCCAATCCCGTCCTTTATTATGGCGAGCTGGTGACTCGAACATTTCGGTCTTCCCACGCTCTTTTTGGGCGAGTTGGAAACGAATATGCCCGAGTGGAGATAAATAGATTCCAAAATTTGGAGAACTCATCTGCTGCCACGTGTCCTCCTTACCTGGCAACCTCGGCATCGCCACAGCCCAACCGAAAGCATCTTCCATCAATACCCTTGCCTTGCCACTGCCCTCCCACCTCGTCATCCCCGGTCCCCCTCCTCCCCTCAAATGGCGCTCGTCTCTTCTGGAACATGAAATCTCACACACCCCAGAATCACACGCAGACAAACTCCAGATATGCTCTTGCACCTTTTTGCATGCACAATTGTTTCTTTTCTTTTTAATCTTTTTTCCTTGAATTAAATCGGTGAGGAGCTTGGTGGAAGTTTGTAGAAGAGGCAAACTGATTCAGCAAAGGGTTTTCTCAATTGGGTTTTTTTATTCCTTCTTGGGTGAATTCAAGGCTTTGTTGGCTTCAGAATTATCAGAATCACCAATTTTAGGTACTGTTTGATTGTCGCATTTTTGTTTGCGTGTCATTTCGTTTTTTTTTTTTAATTGAAGATTTTGATTGGTTTTCTGTTTAAGTTTCAATCTTTGCTTGATCAATAGGGATTCCCTGGATGAATTTTGGATTAATTGGGGTAAGTACTTTTCAAATGGTTTAATCTGTTGGGAATAGTTTAGAATTTTATGTTGGAAAAGGTGTGATTTTTGTCCTCTTTTTGTGGGTTTGATGAAAGTTGTGGGAGTGGTGTTGGGGTGCGTTTATAGGGTCAATGGGAGTGACGCAATTAGTTTTTGAGCTTTAGGAACAAGACAAATTCATGTGTAATAAAGGGACTGTGGTTTTGAGTGAATCAGAATTGGAATCTGAGTGTCCCATTAATCAAGAACAGCAGCAGCATCAAGCTGTGTACTTGATGGACAGCCCGACTGTGGCTTCTGGTTCTGCCCCAAACTTGAATGATGAGAACCCGCGTATTAAGTTCTTGTGTAGCTTTGGAGGTAGCATATTGCCTAGGCCTCATGATGGGAAGCTTAGGTATGTGGGTGGGGAGACGAGAATTGTGAGCGTTCCACGTGATATTACATATGAGGAGCTTATGGCAAAAATGAGGGAGCTTTTCGAGGGGGCTATGATTTTGAAGTATCAGCAACCGGATGAAGATCTTGATGCTCTTGTCTCTGTTGTGAATGATGATGATGTGACCAATATGATGGAGGAGTATGATAAGTTGGGTGCTGGTGATGGGTTCACTAGGCTGCGGATTTTTTTGTTTTCACACTCTGATCAAGATGGAACTATGCATTTCATCGACGGGGATGAGAGGGACCATGAGAAGAGGTATGTGGATGCTTTAAACAGCCTTAATGAATCCCCCGAATATAGAAGGAATCATCTTATGGACAACCAGTTTGTTGGTCCATTAGATGATGCCCATGTTGTTGCGGAGCAGTTTTTAAGCCAACTGAATCTTGAAGGTGTGGTCCAAAACCAGCGGAACACTGAGATGCCTATGCCACAAATGAATCTTCGACAACTGACAATACCTACTTTAGTTTCAGGACAGCCTCAGCAAACAGCTAGTCAGCGTTACAATGAGATGGATGCTCCATGGAGTCCTGCTTACTACTCCCCTAGGCAACATGGGCACCAGGACCCAAGACAGGTGGCAGAATTTCCAACTTCACCTTCGTCGGGACGCTACCGGGCCCAGTATAATGAGTTCTCGGACAAGAGTTTTGATAGGATGCCTGACGTTCAAATGAACCATCAATCCCTGTATGAACACCAGCCTCAATATTCAGAGAATTTAGCCTTGTACACCAGTGACAAGGCTGGTTTCCCTGGTAACATACTTCATGGTGCAAATGTCTTTGAAGGAAACAGTGTTTGTGAACATTGTCGAGTTCCTTTCCAGAGAAATCAAGTTTATAATGATGCTCCTTGGAAGCCTGGGGAACATCAACATTTAGAGCCACCTGGGAATGGGTTTCATCAAGCCACTAACCCATGTGCTGAGTGCCCTCCAAATAGGGAAATTCTCATGTTGAACACAGATCCAAACATGCATCATATATACTATCCTAGGGACCAGGATCCTCGACAACTCTATAGTGAAAGTCAGAGTCATGATAGAGGATGGCTTTTGCCACATCAGTCGAATACCAGGCCTGAGGAACCAAGACCACATGTTTCTGTTGCTGGAAGGTTGAGTGATCACTACATTGTTGATAACAACGTGAGTATCTCGCATGGGCATGTAAATGTGTCTGATTCTCTATACATTCCATCACATTTTGTCCATCCAGATGACCCTCGCTATATCCGATCTGGTCCAGAGATGAGCCAAATCTTTCATGACTCAACTGTTGCAACAGGATCTCATATACATGGTCAACCCTCAGATGAAAGAGGAGTTCGGTATGCGAATCCACCTTATGCTTATGCTCCTGATAGTCATTACCCTGTTACAGGACATACACCTGCGCATGCTTTATGGAGAAACATTCATGGCCCAATGCATGGGGGTCTTTCTTATGAAGGATCCAGTTCCCCTCAGTTGCCTGGTGGTTTGGTCAGTCCTGGATATATTAGAGTGGAAGGCAGTCCTAGTTTGCGAGCTGGGTTAGAGAACCAGAATCCTTGGGTAGACTCCTCTCAGAAAGTAGTGGGTAATGATGGGTCTCTACTACCCGACTATCCTAATGGCCACGCACTAAAATTGTTGCCCACTACTTACAATCAGGAGAGCCAGCTTCTATATAACACAGAACCTGTCAGATCTAACATTGATGTGCTAAATATTGCTACTCCAACAGATCCTTTTATGAGATCTGATTCAGCACCAGCAGTAAATGACAAGCTGTTTTCATCAGCCACTTCTAGAGGAGAACCAAGAATTGAGACTGATGTTTTGAGACCAGTTTGGGTGGATAATACTGTTGAAGGAGGGCATAAAGAAGCAATTCATCTGGAGAAGGCTGAAGATATTGGTGTTTTATCCCATCCTAAGGGAAGTAAAGACTCTGATAATGTCCAATTTCCTGAATCCATCACTTCTGGTCCGATGGTGCATGGTGCAAGAAGCAATGGCACTACAAAACCTGAAGAAAAGGATACTTGCTTCCCTCTTGAAAGGGAACAGTCTGATGACCGTTTAAGCTGCTTACCTGAATTGATTGCATCTGCAAAAAAGGCCACCTTAGATAGTATTGAAGAGGTGAAAGCTAAAGTTCAAGATATTACTGATCCGCGTGTTGAGCATGATGCAGCAGTAAAAGAAGAACATCAAAATGAGGCAGATGCATTGGTGAGTCATTTGCATGCTTTGCCTTACATTGTCTCTGGTTTCAAGCAAAGCAAATAAATTTCCCTATTTTTGGTAGGATGCTCAAGGTGACTTGGAGGTAGATTCTGACAATGAAAATTCAAATAGTCCCAAGATTGAGCTAACTAAAGCTGAGGAAGAAGCTATCAATCGTGGATTGCAGGTAGACAAATAAAACATTTGTGTTTTATAAATTACTGATCTATTGTCCTTCAGTTATTTGGGACACTTTTTTTTCCCCAACATAAGAAGATAAAATCTTCTTTGTTTAATAAAACAATTGAGAGTTCCCATCAACCACCATATTCTTTTTGAGAAAGAATTGATAGCTGAAAATGTAATTGCATCCTAACCCTATCTCTATGAATGGAGTTTTGAGAAGAATTCATTTATTTACTTTAGTATGACCATTTATGCCATGTGATTTTCCACATAGACAATAAAAAATGAAGATCTGGAGGAGATCCGTGAATTAGGCTCGGGCACATATGGTGCTGTTTTCCATGGGAAATGGAAAGGATCTGATGTAGCAATAAAGAGGATAAAGGCCAGCTGCTTTGCTGGAAGGCCATCTGAAAGAGAACGTTTGGTATGTTTTCTTTTACATTTTGTTTATTAATTTCTTTTCTTTTCTTTTTTTTCCCTAGATGGAAAAACTCTCCTGGATGACCCAGTATTCCCTTTTAACATCATTACTTTCCTAAGAAATGTGTTGTTTCTTTTTGTCATTTTTGTTAGTGGGTCTGTGTAGATACTAAAGATTTCTTTTTTTTTTTTTTTCATGCAACGCTACAGAAAAATTTTAATTTTGATAATTTCATATGGTAGCATGTCTCGTGAGTTTCTTTGCAATCAGCTACTACGTGTGGTGCAATGGCTAGAGTGGGTAAAAACTATTTAACCCTGAATATTATCTCAGATAGAGGAGAAATTTCATCTTTTTGTTTCATTTTACTAATTTCCTACTACTTGGTAGTTTTCAATCTTTCTTCTAGTTCTTCTGCAGTCATCATTTTAATACTAGCATTTGCATAGACTACTGTGATTAGGTAGTACGTTGCTTGTCTAGAGCTATTTCATTGATTATCTTGGGGCTTCTGTCAGCTGAAGCATGTGGTGGTTTTGATATGGGTTTCGATACGGTTGGTTATCTGAAAGGGTTGGCTTGCTCTTCCAGTTTCTCAAGTCTTGCAAATTTACCTAAAATTTTTGTGAATGCTTGAGCAATGTAAATTTTTTTTTATTCGTCAAAGTACAAATGTGACAAGGATTATTTCCTTCCTTTCTGTTGTAAACCTATCTTAATTTTGGTAGGCATGGATTGTAAACCTATCAATTTCAATGATTGATATTGTCAAAGTGATTCATGTGCATGTCAGGCACTAACATGAAAGGTAGGTCATAGTAAGTGTATTTTTCTTTCACAGTTGTGGACATTAGCATCTCACATGCTATATTGATGCATAGCTGATGTATTTTAATTGTATTGAATATTCTTCCATTTTTACTTTTTATTTCCTTAATTTCTTTAAGGTTTTCTTGTGCTTTGTAAATGAAAGTCTGTTGCTTTTGTTTAATTTTTTTCTGGTGAAATATGGGAGCTAGCAAATTATATTTAGTTTTGCATCCTTGAGAATAGCTGAAATGATAGATTCACATCATGTTTTAAAAGTGTAAGCACTGTAATATAAGGAGTGAACTTGAAATTGAAGGATGAATGGGAACAAGGATTTGTTTTCTAGTGGCTTCTCTGCTTTTGGAGGAGAGATGATATTTCAAGAATCTTGGTCTGGGTACTTAATTAGTTGAAAAATTCAAATCTTTAGAACTGACATGCATAGGTATGTAAATTCACAACCACAGCATTGTAGTCAAACATTTTGCTATAATCCTAATTTTTCTTCTTGTACTGGCTATTTTCTTAACAATGAGATTCTAAGTTTTCCATTGTGTTTTTTACCTGAATAATGTGGTTAGCAGTTTGAAATCATGGCCCATTAATATATGTATATTCTTGCAATGAAGGCCATCTGTTAACCACCATCAACAGCTAGTATATTGGGTAGTACTCCATTTTTCCCTCCAGTGCTGTTCTATAGGTCCACCATTGACTTGGGTCATGATGCTTGTCTCCATTATGGCAAAACTAACAAGCGTTCTTTGAACTGTGGCTGCATGATTTTACATATTCCTTTTGCACTATGAAGTGCTGGGTAGATGAAATTTTTGAAGTTTGACAAATTAGCTTCTTTTAGGAAATGCCAGTTATTATCATGTTTTGAGCGACAGAATTTGTAGTTTCCCTTCCTTCCTTTAGTGTTTCTCCACCACAAGCCCCTGTATGCTTTCCCACATTATTTATATCCATGAGTACTGCTGTCGCAAAAGGTTAATCACTTTGGGTCACAATTTTCGTTTGGATTGCTTAGAATTTTATGTGTCAGTTGATTACTGTTAATATTGAGTCACCTGAAGAAATCCTGACTGGCTGTGTTTCATGGCATTTAGGAGTGGTTTGTTCTTGGTTGACAATTTCATTTGAAGAGATGCTCTAGTTCTCATGAGTTTAACAATACTAGTAACCTAAGGAAGTAGTGAATTCACTAGCACTTTAGGCTCTTTTAACTCCAATCTCCCCACATTTCAAAATAAAAATTAACAAATTGTGGAGAGTTATCTTGGATGACATAATTATACTTTTCGCTCTACTTTTTTCTTTTTTTTTTTTCCTTTTACTAGCTAGAGAAAGGTCTAGTTATTACTGTCTCTCTGCTAGTGCTGACAACATTGGCATATGTGCTGTCTTGTGAGGTTTCTGTGACTGCCTATAAGCAGGTCATGTTGCTATATTTTTTGTTACAATAGGTTTTAAGTAGGTTTTGGCTGGAACATTAAAGAGTCAAATCGAGCTGCACACTTAACCTGCGATTTAAAACATGCAGTGTCCAAGACTCTTAGAATTCCTAGTCTTCTATTAACTGCTATTTGTAAGTTATGTGTAGTGTGGCCTTTTGTCCTTCTCATAGTTGTAGTAGGTTCAGTATGAGTAGTTTACTTCTGAGTCAGGTCTGATCTGTTGATTTGTTCTGTTTATCTAGATTTCAGATTTCTGGAAAGAGGCTCTGATATTAAGCTCACTACACCATCCAAATGTTGTTTCTTTCTATGGTGTCGTCCGTGATGGCCCCGGTGGATCCTTGGCCACTGTGACAGAGTTCATGGTCAATGGATCTCTAAAACAGTTCCTACAGAAAAAAGACAGGTATGTTTAACATTTTGTTGCTTGTCTTTGCTATTTACTATCTAGAATTTGCTTTTGCATGGAAAAGTTACATTGTTGTTTCATGGAGGAAATCTAAATTAATTATTGATTTGATGGTTCTCTTGTTCATGTTCAACAGAACAATTGACCGTCGGAAGAGACTTATGATTGCTATGGATACTGCATTTGGCATGGAATATCTTCATGGAAAAAATATTGTGCATTTTGATCTAAAATGTGAAAATCTGTTGGTCAATATGAGAGATCCACATCGACCAGTGTGCAAGGTATGTTGAATATGCTTAATCTGACAATCCATCTATCTTTGATTCAACTATCTACAGGGCTGAGTTTTGTAATTTGATTAGCTGTACAAACTATTGCTGTTTTACAGTAGGAATCCTGTTGAATAATCTGATAATATATGTCTTGCGTTTTATTTGGCTCTTTTGGTCATTTATGGCTGATTTTTCTTGTAGATTGGTGATCTTGGCTTATCAAAAGTAAAACAACATACTCTGGTATCGGGAGGGGTTCGTGGGACATTGCCGTGGATGGCACCTGAGCTCCTTAGTGGTAAAAGCAATATGGTATCTGAAAAGGTAACATTTGTCCAACGTAATTGATGAAATATATGGCCACCATAATCATTTTTTTTCTTTTTTTGTTCTTTTTTTCCCGGTTCCTTTTAGTATAATTAACTTTCTTTTCTGCTCTGCAGATTGATGTCTATTCATTTGGTGTTGTTATGTGGGAGCTGCTAACTGGTGACGAGCCATATAAAGAAATGCATTGTGCTTCCATAATTGGTATCTGCTATATTCTGACATGGCCTTCTTTTTATCTTTTGTATATAAACTATGTTCTTCTAGGTTTCTAGGGGTTTTGTGTATCATATGATCAAAGTTTAGAAAAGAAATGCTTTACCCTGTAGCAGTTGTTTTGGGTCTTTAATATACCTATCTGGCCACAATGTGCAAAGATACTTTAATGCCTTCGACCTTATCTGGCTACACCCTTCAAAGTTCCTCTCTTTTCATTATTTATCCATAATTTGTGCAGGTGGGATTGTAAACAACACGTTGCGTCCACAAATACCAACTTGGTGCGATCCTGAATGGAAATCATTGATGGAAAGTTGCTGGGCGGCTGATCCAGCAGAGAGGCCATCATTCTCAGAAATATCCCAGAAGTTGAGAAGCATGGCAGCAGCAATGAATCTGAAATGATAATGAATATATTGCAGCAACCATTTGCTTGTTTTGTACGATTTTGTTCATTTTTGAGAGGAACAGTAAGTTGATATGAAGCAGGCAAACATCTGCAACTCTCATCCTTGCCGCTCCCTAACTCTTATTAATCTAGTAATGCAGTATTATTAGCTTGCTTCTCCATCACCTTTATTTTGTCAACACATCTTCATGAAGTAAAACAGTATGCTCTCTGGTCTTGCTATTGCTAGGATATACTTCAACAAAGCCTGAGGAGAGACGTAATTGCATGATCAGACTGTAAGTGCTCACAAAAGACATTTTTTTTGAATGTATTCTAACCCTGTATGTCAAATGCTTTTTTTTTTTTTGGTTGATCGTAATTTGCTTGCTTACACTTTGATGTGCAGGTTGTCAAACATAGTGGTGTTAAGATGGCAAGGCTGTTCTTCCAATATGGAAGCCTTTTTTATCTCCGTCTTGAGGTTGAATTGTCTTGCTACTGTACATAGTTTTAGTTGCTATACATAGGGAACTACTCCTCTGCTCCAAAGATTTAGTTCCAAAACTTCCAGCTATGTTTACACTCTTGTTTTTGACAATATAATTTACCCAAATTTCCAATTAGGAATTGCATTGCACCATCAATGTGGAAAGTATACAACGTAATTGATCAACTTTTCCACTCTCTCTCTCTCTCTCAACTTTGTTCAAGAATGTTTCTAATGATGCAAAACTGGCCAGAATCACCCCAGTGGGTTTGTTATGTTGGAAATCTCTGTGTCTTTTATTTTTTTTCTTTCTTTTTTGTGGTAAGTAGAAAATCTGTTTCAAGTATGAAACGACTGAGACAGAACAAAAACTGCCTGTACTTTTCATTAGACCCACCCTTTTACCAACTTGATTAGATGATTGTGTGTGTTTTCGTGTGTGTTTGTGTGTGCCGTTGAAATATCAGGTTTGACCTGATTGTCTTCCCCTGCATGAAACGGCGTTGATAGCTGGGTGGACTTTTGAGGCTTGCTAATTATTGAAGCAACCAACCAAGTTAAAATTATCCTAAGGTCAATTTCGCTGATGCCAGCACCAATATATATGTGCCTTTCACTTGCCGACTATTCTTGTATACCTAATACGCGGGGTGTGACTTTTCATTTGAAAGTCAACATTCTCACGTGCCACTTGACTGCACGCCACGTGCCAGGTGAACACAAAACGCACCTGCTTGAGCTTTGTTTGTTTCGAGGTTTTAGCCTCGACAAAAATCAAGAATGAAGAATATCAACATTTTGAGCTTTCATCTGCTTTCGTCTAATCTTTGTAGCTGGTACATGATCACTTTGTGCGATTCCCTTAGGTAGGAGAATTCTTGTGGGCGTGATGGGTATGGGATAGATGAATCTATCTTTAAACTACAATAGGGAAACTCGAGGAAATAAGTAAATAAATGTATTTTATAACTCAGTTATATAAACACACGAGATGTTTATACGGCAAAGATGGATTTGAGAATAGTTTTGAAAAAAATTAAGAGATGGATTATCTTTTATTCTATTTTATGGGAAATTGTGTATCTCATAGAATATCAATTTAAACTTTGAAGAGAGGATCGATTCATATCAGAATAATAGAAAAGTTTATCATATATTGTATCATTTTCTAGATTAAATTGAACTTTGAAGAGAGGGGTAAAAGAGGTACATGTGCATGGTAACCACCTTACTTGTAGGATGGCAAGTGATAAGGCACAAGTCAATTTCTTGGATGCCATAAAGTGATGGATTTGTTAAACGATGGAGTTGACGATGATATAGAAAACATGTTATTGGAGGGATTAGGACTCACAATTGAGCTCAGCAACTGCGTCCGTTTGCAGCGTCTTTGCTTGATCATTTACAAAAAGTGCATGGCGATAATAACAGCTTGATTAATCTACATGCTACTTTGATTAAATTAAACAAAAGCCATTAGTGTCTGATTCAAGAAATAATCTAGATTAGTCCCCTGTTGGCATGTTTGCCAACCCCTTTGGAGAGGGGACTCTTTCAGTTTCGTAGAGTTTGGTGCCTTAATGTACGACATCGGCAGTACGCCTAAGAAATACATATTTGCACTCATCTTTGGCTTAAACATCCTAATCACTTTTTATTAGTATATTACGATAAAATGGAGGTGTATTGTGTATACCACTTTCTTGTATACAAAATATAAAGAAATGTAAGGTCTATTTTCCATTATGTAGAGGAGTGACAACTGGCATGGAGCAAGTCGAGTATATATCCATGAAGATATGTTTTGTTGCCAAGAAATAATCATTAATTAACTAATCAAGCATTACCTCAACTGATACGTATCATCTTTTTCTTATCTTTTTTTTTTAATCTTTTTCTTATCTTATCCATGCTTTTATTCATGCATGATCTTGGTAGTCAATAGTGAAAAAATAGTAGTATTGCCAACTCATGGAATATGAGATTTGATATGCAACAATTCAGTATTACGGATAAATTCACAGGATAACACATTGAGCAAAGAACTATTGATTCATAAAAATGTACAGCATGCAAAATGTACTCAACTTATACATACTTAATCTACATATTAAATTACTTGATGTATATAGATTTTTTTTTCTTGTAAGTGAAAAATCTTGAATTCAAACCCTCTACTTACTTACGATTCCTCTGCTCTTACCGTCCAATTCAGCCGTCCTCTCCTCCCCCACCCCCCGCCTTAATAACCGCTTTACATGCATGTGATGATTTAAATTTCAAGTGGCTCATTAAGCTTCTAACTCGTCAGGTGGGAGATAGCTAGTTAAGCTAGAATCAGATTAAAGTTTTTAGAAAACATTTGTCCTGCATGGGGAGGAAATAATTATGAAAAGTATTTCTAACGAGTGCAGGCTGAAAATAAGGGATTTTATGTAGAATTTTGGCTCAATGAAAATGACTTCTCATTTTATATATCAAGTAGACTAAGAGAATGACACACATTTCGCGGGCTAATTACTCTTATGTTGAAGTTTGAGAGACATCAATTTTCTTAGTAGAAGATCCTGTGTTCTCTCGCATGCTACCTCTATCATCATCTTTCGTTTCTTCTTTCAGCTAATCTTTTTGACATGAACTTCCTTTTTACACTCTTTTTGTATACCTAATTAGTTATTGGTTTCTCTTCTGATCCAGTGCTACCAACTTCTTGCTGAACCTTGACCACTAATCTCCTGTTCTTCTTTTCTAAAACATAAGGAATAAAAGTCACATCCAATGAACAAATAGCACTTAGGCGGTCGCATCAAGTAAACTAGAAATTAACCCTTAGGTTAGTTTTAACCCGCATACTGTATTTTAATCTTACAGTCAACCTGGATAGAGTTTCTATTCTGCAAACGTAATCAGCAAGATTTTCAGCAAACCAATTTGAACATGACCCTGTACAAAGTTGCTCTGCGTGGATCTAGAACGTCTTATGACCAATGATGCATCGAGCTGGTTCATTTAACCGTTGCTTTCTATCTTAAATCTGGGTATTATACCCTATAAAAGAAACTTAAATTACTGTTTTTCTTTGACACCCTCTTCCAAAGATCTGCTTACGAGGATGATATCCGTGTTGAAAAAATGAATAGATAGAGACAGTTTTAGGATATGGAATTAAAGAATTCGGTTTCTTTCGCAACCTTCAGAAATCCTTATGCGTAGCTACGTACTAGATTTCTTTCTTCCATTCTGCTTGAATTAAATGTCGTCTTCTACTGATTTTAGACGACGAGATTCATGTTTTCAAGAAAACTCCTAATCTTTATTTACACAGCCATATTTAATGTGAAACAACAGATACATCATAATTCATTCATGTACATGTACTTTTGAAGCTCGAGCAAGTGTACGGTTGTTGTGACTTGTGAAGTCACCGACTTGTACTTTGGGAGCGGTTTTTCTTTTGTCTGAGAGAGAGAGAGAGAGATAGAGAGTTTAATATGCAAATGATCCAGAGAAGTCAATTAGGTTAGCAACAATCATTCCATATTATTTTGGTAATTAGGCCATTGTGGCCCGTTCTTATCTTCTCATCAAGAAAACCTTCACCAGCTCTCATATTTAAAGAATTAAACCTACCCAAAAAAAAATCTTTAAGATAGCCTGGTCTTCTTTGATGATGCATGAAATGCAGTGTCAATGGAGAGAGAGAGATTCTAACCGCGAGAGAAAGACAAGCAGAAGCATGTTTTCTTCGTCCCAAAGATCTGAGTCCATTTGCCCATTAAGATATCAATATCTCAAAGAATCCCCTTTTGAAATTTGATAGTTTTCTGCTTGTTATTTCTACGCTAAGTGCGGTTCTGGACCTCCTTGTTCTTTTTAAATTTTAATTCAATAGCCCTAACCGTAGCAAAAATATTAATCTAGGGAACCAAGGTCAATCAATGGGCCTGCTGCCCAAAAAGCTCTTGAATATTTTATACTCAGAATCATGTACTGGCTTTTTAGTTTCCAGCAATATCTAAGAAAATCCTAGCTTGACAACTTGTAGCTCTTGAGGTGTAGAAGGCAAAAAGAATGACTAAAAAAAACCAAGGTGTATCATGATGCCGTAATTAGCGACCAAATGACAAGAAATTCATTTCACGCACCAGAAATTCAACTTGCGTCTATGATGAGGTTGAATTGATAATTTACAATGCTTTTATGCTTGTCTGAATCCTAGCTACCTTATTACTCAGGCTCATTTGTATTTGTTTGCAGCTCGAGGAAACTGTGGAAGGCTGAAAAGCGATGCTTTTGCTGGTGAAATTCATGGAAACTTTCTTGTACTTACACGTACATAACCAATACCTTTTTGGACATTCATGAATGTTAACGACATAAATATTTAGCATTTATAATGTAACTTTTCAAGCCAATCAAATAAGTACGTAGACATCAGCATTTATTTCCAGCTTATAAATATTGTAGTTTCTGTCAACTCAAGCAAAAAAAAAAAACCCATTAATTTCCTCATCTACTTTACAGTTTACATATGCTGAAGCTGAAACCTTTTAACCCTTGAAACCTAAGGTGAAGCTGAAACCTTTACCATGTTGAGTATGGATTGGGCTCCTCCACGATACACACTTTTTCCCATTTTTCCTCAATACCCACTTAAACATTTGAAAACCGCAGTGGTGTACTATTACTTAATTATGAATGGCTCAGATTAGTCTTCCTTTTAATCTTAGCAAACAATAATAAAATTTGACATTTCAACCAGCTTTAAGTGCAAAAGGATGCTAAAACTTCTACTACCTTTTTGGTTGTCTAAAATCTTAGTTACTGATATTCACTTATATAAAGTAGTTTTTTTTTTTATCACTACCTGAAGTTGTTTGACATCTTAAAGCACACCTAAATTCCAATTCTCTGCAATGTTAAAAGTTTATATATTCGCCTTCAATTTTCCCTTATTTATTTATTTCTGCTTTGGCTTGTGTTTTTCTCCTTTTATGTGGCCATACGAAGAACACAGAATTATTAACCTCACCAAAGAAGTTCAGCAATATGCCCTAGAATAACACAAATAGTACTTTTTTTTCTGTAGTTCTAAAGCCTACTATGGTGTATTAACTTTTTTTACCCTCTCCAAGGCACTATTTTCCCTTCACATTCTCGGTGCAAGAAAATAGAGTAGTGTGGTATCAAATTAATTTTAGCATAATTAGTGGGTTTTCCTAACTAGTTGAGAGCAAATTAAGAAAGTTTTCTTGCATTTAGCTAAGGTTAAAGAACTTGGTTAGAACACATCAATCTAGGCTTCAATTATCTAAATGTGTATTGAGCATTATCCACATATTAGAACTGACTTCTTAGGCATTACATCTCTTAGGGTTGGATGGCTTGAGTTTTCATTAAGAGGGAGAGAGAGAGAGAGATTAGATTGGCTCAGGTGATAAGTTTGGGACATCCAGCTTGAAAATGAATATACTCCGTAAGTTCTTTAGAAACATGAAAAGTCCCGGTTTATTTCAGGAATTAAGAACAGAAAAGCAATTCATAGAACTGCTTTTTCTGTGAAGACAATACCACTCTGCTTTGAAAAGTTAATGCCAACTAGAAGTCTAAAGGAACAAAAGCCGTAGGAAACAGATCAAATTTAAAGCCATCTGATTGGTGGTGAACAAGTATTATAGCTGCCCCCCTTTTCTCCCTTCTTTTTTCTTTTCCGTGTTGGTCCTTTTTCAACAAAGAAACCTTTCAAAGGATTGAATTTCTGTTTCTTGGTAGAATTTTGAGGCATTGTTCACGTAATCTTGTTAAAGCCAGACGACTCACCCTTCAGGCCTTCACTATCACATCACTCCCATTCTCTTGAGTTTTACAAGCTAAAGCTGCGATGGTCGTTATCTTGATCAACCTAATTTTCCCTTTTGTTCTTCCAGTACGTAAAACACTTCATAAGCAATTCCTGCCCAATCTAAACTTTGTGGAAAGAACTGCATGATTAATTCTTAGTTTAGAAACATTAATGACTGAACTCTGGATATAATTTGTTATCTCGTTGCTTGCAGCCTTATATCTCAAGTCTCAAATCTCTATCTTCGTGACAAAATGTTTTAGTATCCCTAAACCGTGTTTTTCAGAAAACTTATTAATAGCATCTACTGAGAATAGCTTCTACATGAAGTTTTTGACTGATGAGTAATGACTGCAAAGCAAATTGGGATATTTTGGAATGGAAAAATCGGAATACTGAAAAATCTTTTGTGATAGTTTCTCATCACCACAATCATGTCAAACCACTTTCACGGTACGTTTTATCTCCAGTGAGACGTAAAAACGAAAAGAAGCCCAATAATAGTCGAACTTTTGAAGAGAGGTTGGTGACAAATTAAAATGATGGAGGCTTCTTTCTTGATTTTAGCTGTAATAGCATTGCCTCCACATAATAAACTAATCATTAATTCAAAAAGCAACCTGATTATTATAATTGACTTGAGAGAAATTTGTGTAGTAATTTGTCGGATTACAACACAAATTAATTGCCAAGGAATAAAAAACGCTGACTGAACTAATCCAAATGTACGTGTTTCCGTGTGAGAGAGATGCAGAAACCCTAGAAGAAATGTGAAGACTTTTTGCTTCTCATAAGCATCACATCACCCCCAGTCTTCCTACTATAAAGCCCGGTCTTCTCTTCTAACATTTCCCATCAAACACTTTCTATCAAAAATCAAAGATAGCTTCTATCTGTTCAGAAAACTTGTCCCGAAAAAAAAAAAAAGAAGAAAATATACAAGCAAACTCGTAAGCGGAACAAAGATAAAGATGGGCAGAGCTCCATGCTGTGACAAAGCTAACGTGAAGAAAGGTCCATGGTCTCCTGAAGAAGATGCTAAGCTTAAGGCATATATTGAGAAACATGGAACTGGTGGAAATTGGATTGCTCTTCCCCAAAAGATCGGTATGTTTTCACGTGATGTTTGAATGCTTGATCCCACCCTAGGCTTGATTTTTTCAATAGTATACGTAGAAAATATATGACTTGATGAATTTGGTCTTCAGGGCTTAAGCGGTGTGGAAAAAGTTGTAGGCTTAGATGGTTAAACTATCTCCGACCCAACATCAAGCATGGGGGATTCACTGAAGAAGAAGACAATATCATCTGCAGCCTCTATATCAGTATTGGCAGCAGGTTAGTAATTGCTTGTCCTTTTGCCCTTGTCAGCTATGCTTTTGTCTGTAGAACAAATTCTTCATCCTTGGACATAAATCCTAATTAGTACAAAGATTTCCATGTTCTTTCCTGATGATCTTCAATATTATTACCAAATTTTAATTATGTGAAGTGCATGTTCGCCATGTTAGGTGGTCAATCATCGCAGCCCAGTTGCCTGGAAGAACGGACAATGATATCAAAAATTATTGGAACACCAGACTGAAAAAGAAGTTGCTGGGAAGGCGTAAACAATCCCAAATGAACCGACTTTCGGGCTCAGGCCAGGACCAAAAGGATGCAAATGGTGGTATCGAGGAAAACACCTGGCAAAACTTGAGTAGCTCAGCTCTTGAGAGGCTTCAACTCCATGTGCAACTTCAGAGCCTACAAAACCCTTTCTCTTTTTACAATAATCCAGCACTTTGGCCCAAGTTAAATCCCCTTCAAGAGAAGATGATCCAAAGCCTCCAAAATCTGACTGAATCCCAGAATCCATCAATGCAACAAGTTTCTCCTAGCCCTCAATCTGGATTGGGCCAAAATGTTGAATTCCTCGAGCAAGCTGCTATTTCTTCTAGGCTTCAACAAGAGCTAGAGAACTCTATTAACCCTTTGAATCCCGGAAATAGTCCCATAGACTCAACCTTGGCTCCAAAATCAAACGTTATGCAACAGCCTGGTTCAGAATATCAGCCCATTTCAACATTTACACCAGCTGAAATTGATAATCTTCTCAGCAGCAAAACCGCTAGTTTTCTATCATCAGATAATCAGATGGCTGAATTTGATTGCTTCAAAGAGATAGACGGTGTGAGGGACGCCCTGATGTGGTGGTCTAATGACATGGATACAAATTCAGCATCCTCGAACTCTTGGGATTCTGCTTCTCTTCTTCAACAATCCGGAGGAATGTATCAGGATTATGCAGTAGGGTACAATATGTAAGCAAGCCTAGTAGCTAGGCTAGTCCAAGTCATATGAACTTCTAGGAGAATATTGTTTTACTCATAAGAAGGAGAAGATGGAAAAACTGATGGCTGAGTTGTTGTAAATTGTGTGAATAATGTTATGTCCTTGTATTCTTGCAAATATGTATTCGATATGACTGTTGATCGACAGAACAGCTTTATATGAATTTGAGCGTCGTGTTAAAGTTCCCGTCCCATTGCATTGACATTTTTCGGTCATGTTCATACAAACCAGCCAAGGCGCTAAGTAGCCTGAAGCTTAGAGACAAAACATTGGAATGAAAAAGATGCAGAACATACAATATTTAAGGAATTATTTTGATGAAATGTGTTCATAGCTGGAATTAGAAGGTGGAAAATATCTACCAAAAGAGATACATGAAAAGGGAATAATATTCACAATTAGCAAGAAATAACAGAGTTATATCAATCTGCTTCAAGATTCAGATTTTTAAGAAGCAGGAGGTTATACCCTTCATTTAACGGTTCATTCCCCGCACCTTTAAATTACTAGTTCCATTTTGTCTTTTCAAATTCTTCCACTTCAACCTGCGGTGCAGATTTGACATGTTTACCCGCAAGTTGAGAAAAATGGCTAAACTAAAGTCACTAAATGCTGATACCTTAAGGTATACCCACCCCATCCACACAGCCTTTTTCCCCCGGCCACCAAAAGAAAAGGAAAAGAAGAAAAGATAGGGAGGAGCATCTGAAGTGCCTGAGTGAAAATTTATAATAGAGTGTAGGCTCTCCAGTTAGCATTTTGGGTTTGACCGTCAATTGGTTTAGTTGGGGTTCGGATTTTTACGTATATAAATAAAAATAGAAACATTTTGAGCATTTATACACCCCAACCAGGAAAAGTAAACTGCATATGAGTATGACAAATTCAATGTTTTGGCCTACCAGTTTTCTAACAAAATGCTCTGTGTGTTTTTTCATCTTTTCACTTGTTTCCATGTTGTGAGTTTACCGCTGGTACTTTTGGTGTTTGGAAGCGGGTAAGATGGCCAACTAATCTATCCTCCGGCTAGAAAAAGCAACAAAGTATCACTTATTACTTTCATAATCTTTTTCCATGAGGGGACACTTTATTATTTTTGGTAAAGAAATTCTTTGGAAAGAGATATTTACACTTCCAAATCAGCCTCTTACACTCCTTGGATGCATATAATTTAGTGAGTGAATTAGAGTACCCAAAAAAAAAAAAGACTAAAAAGGGAGTGCGAATATCAATTCCCAATTGTTTTCTCAAAATTCACTACAGAATCCAACCTACACAACAATGAAATCTACACCAGCTGCATCAAAAAGGTTTCTATCCGCAAACCCATATTGTTAACTTATCAACACATCCTATGTATGCTCAATTTTATAAACCTCTTACAAAACATGCGTGCTTAAATTTGCAATAGGCATTATTGAGAGTTTGAAAATGCAAAAGCTTTCCCGTTTGGAATTATTATTTTTTGGAGTTTTGATATTAAAAAAATGTACTGTGGCGATTTGAAATTAAAAAAAAAAGTAAATGAGAAATGTGTTTACAAAAAATATAAAATTTTTTTGGAGAAAAATTGCAATCCAAACATAGCGGCCTATGGCAAGCAAACTTAATGACATGTCTTCCAACAAAATTAATTCGCCCTAGTTCTACATTGATAGTGTATCTGGTTAACTTCCACAATTTTGTTTTTAAAAATTTATAACATTGCAAAAGCATGTGATGCCTTCAAATTCTAGACAAAATACTGAAATGAGTAGTGTTTTTGGATCTCTATTTCTTTACTGCCGCCGATAAAAAAAAATCCAAAAATGAAGAAAGTAGACAAGGCCCAAGTAACAGAAAGTCAACAAAGGTTTCTTGCAAGTTCCAACTAATGGACCTTTATCGGCCATAATGATCTTAACTTACTAAACGTGGAAGCCTTGTCCTACTATATTAAGGCCAGAGGCCCGACTAGAATGGAAAAGGCCTATGACAGTCTGACTCGGCTATGCCCGTAAAAACTTCCCGGTGCTTTTCCCTGAGCTCAAGATTTCCCAAATGGGGAATGCACTCCATCCCCCAACACTGTTCCTCGCTCCATTTCCACTATGAGAGAATTTCACACAGTGACGGTGTAGAAAAATGAAACTCTCTCTATCTACCTCCAAAAATTGGCCCCAAATAGTATAAAACTGGAAAAGAAGAAACAGATCGACTTAGAATAACTGCTACCGCAGTAGTGTTATGTTTAAGTAGTTCAAATATCTTGTCATGTGATTCTAGAACAAAAATTATGATCTAAAAATAAAAAGAAATGATGCACTTGGACTTCATCTAATAAAATATGGTCACAACAATAAAAATATATATATATTGAAAAAGGGTAAAATCAAATTGGATTTTTATTTTTGGATTTTCAAAGAAAAAGGATTTATAGTTTTACAAAATGACATAAATACCAAAATATCTCCCTTTTGATTTCTGATGAGAAAGACATTTAACTGAAACTACTACCTTCCAGCAATAATAAACAATGAACCATATAAAGAATATGCAAAAAAATAAAAAATCCACCCAAAAAAAAGGCAACACCCAACTAACCACACATTTCCATAAGAAGCTATAATTAAGTTAATTTTTGTATAAAGCAGATATACCTAAGGAGATCCATCATCATGATCACAGTTTTTAACCCAAAACCAGGAGAAAGAAAAAGGTAAGTAACCAGAAATGAAGCTAGATAGAAAGAGATAATCAAACGTGAAATATATGCTGCTAGTACTGTATACAGCTGATGAATGATGATGATGCACTTGTAGCTTGAAGACTTTAGAAGAGGCAGCGTTGGCAGAAGAACAACCCTTTGCCTTTAGTCCATATCAAGATCCATCATCATGATCATCATGATCACTTCATACCCCGAAACCAGGAGAAAGAATAAGGTAAATATCCAGAAATATAGCTAGATAGAAGAGATTAATGAGGTTCCTTCAAAGGTATATATAATATATTCTACTAGTACTATATATTTACAGCTGATCAATGATGATACGCTTGTAGTTTGAAGACTTTAGGAGAAGCAGCATCGGAAGACGTGGAGACCTTTGCTTTTATTAGTCCTGGGATCAGTAGTCTTAGGATTATTGCCAGGGAAAACGGTGACGTTCTGGAACTTAACTTCACTCTTGTACTCAGTACTGTTGCACCCTCCAGGTTCATAGGAAGACACGTAGGTGACCTCTTCCTTAAACCCAAGTTTTCCAGATTTCTCGTCCACGAAATGTCCAGCCTCGTGGGTTTTGGTGAACTCCCTGGTTGACGTACAGATTCCTCGGTGCTCCTTGTGAACAACCTTTTTAATGGTGCTTCTAGGCTCATATGGTTCATCGTTTCTGGCCCTTGCCATGGCCAAACCATAACCATGAAATGAAGCTGCAGGGACTATTTCATTGTGCCCTCTACCCAGTGTACGGCAGTAGGGTGCATGAGGGACTATATGATGATTGTACCCATTGTTCCAGTGGCAGTGTTCTTCACCCATTTTTTGGATGGATGCAGAAGAAATGGGAGAGGGATTTTTGGATGTAAGGATTTGGGATGTAGGCTGGTGTTTGCTTGTTCTTGTTTCTGTGATCAGGATTTGTTGCTGGTGCAGTATGTAGTGTTCAGGATGCTATTTATGGGGAGAGACTAGGATGGTTTCTTGTGTTCTTCAAAAACTGTCAGTTGTTTGGTACTAAACAAAACAGGCTTCCGAGCGAATGGCCTCTAAATCTGTGGGCTCATCTGTACCTAAAAGTCTGATTTTTGTTGTTTTTGGGGTGTGCTGAACACAAAGGATAAATCCATTCAAGGTATCATCCTTTTTCTTTTTGGAGATTTGGCTACTTTAGCATTGAGCTGAAAATGACCAAAAGATGAATTTGCAATTGTATGTAGCATGTACAACTGTAGGCCGGTGCTCTTTCTTTGGCAGCAAGAAAAGAAAACCATATCCCAATATCGTCCCATCGCCATTCAATGCATGGCTTCTTACTCATTCCCAATTATCCGCTTTTACTATGAGAGAATCTCACACAGTGAAAGTGTACAGAAGGAGTAATGGAGAGTAACCTCTCTATACCAGCCAAAAAAAGATTGGCATTTTTAGTCATTATCCCATTTCATAAGTTATGGAAGCAAAGGCACTTCAAATAGATGGTAGTGATAGTATACGTGTTTTTAAGTAGTTCAATTACTCGTCATGTGATGCTAACGGACGATTATGAACGAAGGGTGGGTCAATACGAAAAAATGATTGAGGGTTTCAACCAAAATGGATTCATTTATCCTTTTGGCTCGTGAAATATAGGCATTAAAAAATTGACCCAATTTCAGATGGGATAAAGAGCTGATACTTAAACCTGCAATCTTCCAATGGAACAAGCACTAGGATTAAAGAAAATGCAAAAATCAATTTCCACCAATAAAGAAAATGCAACATCCATTAGATCCTCATATTTCCATAAGAAGCTACAATTAAGTAAAAATTATCTAAAGCAGAAGTACCCATTAAGCATATCAAGTTCCGTAATCTTGATCATCAGTTCATAACCCTGAACCTAAAAGTAGGAAAGACTTGAGATAAATTAATAATCAGAGATAAAAGAAAGTCATAGAGCAACATAGATGAAAATAAGGATCGTTCACCACCCTCAGCTGCATGGCTAAGATTAATTAGAAAAATACTACTAAACTACTAGTTATACTTCGAGTAATACTTATAGTTGTCGATGCGCTTGTTGCCTGAAAACCCGTTGGACAAAGGATTATTAGCATAATTAGTGGTGGTGATTTTCTTGAACGTGACTTCAGTCTGGCACTCAGTGGTGGACTTTCCAACCTTGTCAAAACCTTGAAGGAAGAGTTATACATGACTGCTTCCTTAAACCAATGTTTTTAAACCTGGACTGAAGAGCGAATCGAAAAATCTTTCGATTTACGGTTTAAACAGTTCAATCGATTCGACCTCGATTCAAAGACTTAATAATTTTTTATTCATTTTAGTATTAAGAATTTTGAATAAAACTAAAATATTTATTTTAGAAAATAAATACTTAATAAAAATTGGTTGAACCTCCCAATTTTTACTTGTTCAACCAGTTCTTGACCAGTTCAATTAATTCTTTGGTTTTTTAATTGAACCGGACCGGAGGCATAGTCGATTCGCGGTTCAACCGGTCAACATTAATATTCATTTTACCCTTATGATTTTTGTATTTATCCACGTCATCCTCCTGTGTTTTATATATGGTGATTAAGCCATCATTTGATTCAACATTTAAGTGATGACACTACTGGTATTTTGAATAACAACGTTACATAAGTTATTTTTTGTTAAATTTTCACTTCACACAAAATCATAAAGGATGAAGTAGACATTTAAAATATTAAGGGAGTCATATAGCAAAAAATGAAACCGCAGGAGGATTCTTTATAATGTACCCTTCAATCAATCACGCATTATAGTAGTACATTATTACTGTGCTACCTATATCGCCCGCACCCAAGGATAGAGATGGATGTCTCTCCACTTCTCTTGCCAATAGGTTGAGTCCAAGCGTCTCTCGTGCTTTTTTCTTGGGATCGATTGTCATGCAACATTCCTTTCAGAAATTAACTTCTTGTAGAATCCCGAACGCTGAAGGTTAGCCTAGAACGGCATAGAGTTAAGTGCTGCATTAGCATGGCACTTAAAATTTCACTAATTCTCCTTCCTTCACACGTCTGATAAACAAAAATATGCACGAATGCTTCGCATGAATATAATAAGAAAAAAGGGGAGTTACTATAATTTATTCATGGTCATTGTCAACCATTTTGCCTAGCTAATGGATGTATGCAACGAGAAGTTGAACAAATTCCCCATTTTGCAATGCCAACATTTAACCCCGTGAATTGGATATAGTTTTTGTTCAAAAAAAGAAAAAAAAAAAACAAGATTTTAGTTTCCCATCTCCCTCCCAATCTAAAAGTAAAAGGGTGAACTAGAATCTTTATTGGTTTTAGGAGGGAGTAATAATAATTTTACATGAGAGTGACTTCCATTTTATAATCTGTCTCTAATCCAGAAAAGCTTATACTAAAAGAGTAAAACAATATTTCAAAATGCAACAAACAATAAAAATATACTAAGCCAATAATTTTACATGAGAGTAACTTCCATTTATAATCTGTTTCTAACCCAATAAAGCTTATACTAAAAAAGTATAACAATATTTCAAAATGCAATAAACAACAAAAGGCAGCCAATTAAATGAATACCAAAGACTCGAGAACCACGTTTCTTGAAAACAAAAGATTCAATGCCACCGTGAATCCTACCTGCAGTTCCATATGCTGCCATTTGCACGCGAAGACGCTCTCATTTTCCTTACCTCCCTTTCTAAAAATATGGCAATTCCTCGTGGCTTTGCTTTTCTGTTTATCTTCTCGCTGTTTCTGGTCACAACTTCATGTATGCGATCTTTCTAAGCATCAAAATTCCAATTCTCTAAGCATCAAATCTACACTTTTTTTTTTGGGTTAAAATCAAAACTACATATTTTCAGCGCTTTGATAACATGTTTGCAGGTTGGCATGATCATTCAGGAAGGTGCAATTCCCGGGACGTTCGGATTTATCAATCCCCCTCAGGTTTCACGAGTCTTCACATACCAAAATTTGCAGTCCAAATTATCAATGAAGGGTGGGACATGAATGTGGTATTTGATGTAAAAATAAGTTGTGGAGAATTTGCATCTGCAAATTTGGTTAATCCGATGATCTTTCGACGTATAATTCATGGCAGCTGCGTAGTTAAAGATGGAAAGAAAATTTACCCTGGTGAAGTTATTTCCTTCGAGTATTCCAATATATTTCCCTATCATTTTAGTGTCCTGGAGTTAAAATGTTAGCAATGTGGTTTGGCAATAAAATCCCTGTTATGAATGTCCCTTCCAGATACATGATTGTCGTTTTTCTTTTGGAGAGAGTAGTGTAAATGATTTGTGAGCTTTTGGCTTGTAAAACATTTCGGTTCCAAGCTTTACGCATTTTCTATTAAAAGGCACAATCACGCAGTTAGATCATTTATTTACTAATTTGAAATATGGATTAGTTGAATTCTTGAAACTTTATAACCATTTGAATTGCTATTTTTTTAAATTTTTTATTAAAAAAATGTATTTAGCGATTCGATAAAAAAGAAGAAGCTATTATTCCTTTCTTTTGATTCCAAATCAATTATATAAAAGAAAAAAACATAATATCCTTTAAAAGACCCACTATTTTAAAGTTTTTAATTAGATTTTATGTATTAAATTAAATAAAAAAATCTAGAAAAAAAAATGAAAAATTTGGAAGTCATTGAGAGGTCTCTACTGAACACCTATAGATATAGATTCTTGATCAATTTTCCTTTATTATTGTCCCAAAGGACACTAGATTTTGGTTAAAGAGTGTGAGAATAAAAAAATGATGGGATAATTTCAGAAACCTCTCCTGTGATTTCTGACAGTCTCACTCACCTCCCCTGAACTTTGCAAAATATCAGATGCCTCCCTTGTCAGATTATTGGGCCCTATTTGTGATATCATTGATGATGAATTGACAGATATACCCTCATAACTTATGATATATTTTGAAGCTATTTTGACAGAATTAGTTAAATGAGTAATAGAGATATAATTTATGATATACCTTCTATTCCACTTTACACTTTTTATTCGTAGTACAATCACTAATGAAGAGTTTAGCACTAGTGTTACCTTTCTCTAAAGTCATGTATTTCATTTTATTTTTTTTTGTAAGACAATTATCTAGTGTAACTCATTACTTATATTTGGGTAAATTTGGTTTTCAAAAATTCAATGACGTAAATTGTATATTACATCATCTCATAAAAGTGATGCGACACAATTTGGGTTATTGAATTTTTTGAAAATCGGATCTACCTAAGTTCTGGTATTCAAACGAAGCTTGTTGAATAAATTCGACTAACTACAGTGTGAATTAATTTTTTTTTTTTTTAAAAATCTCAACTAAAGTATCTAGCACTAAATGAAATGAAGTATCTTGCTACTTCATTTCATTTTCCACAAAGAAAATCGCAAAAAGAGTTATTAAACTATAGAGAATTTGGTTATTTGATCGTTACACTATTTATTTAACTGCAATTGCCATTCACTCAATTAACCAAATAGTGAAAATTGTTTTGTGACTTAACTAGTAAAAATTTATAGTTTTAATCACTCAAATAATATTTTTTATGACTTAACTAATAAAAATTTATACTTTTAATCACTCAAATTATAAAACTATACATTTTTTTTATATCACCAGAAGTGTATTTCAATTAATTGAATGATCATATTAGCTAAATAAATGTCTAATAGCTAAAACAAAAAAATATAAATAACATTGTAACATTGCTTGAAGAAGCCATCTGCATTTGTCTCTATCTGGTTCAACTTATTACTTCTATTTTTTGCTTTTGCTTTAGCTCAAGTTGTGGATAAGCAAAAAGGGCATATGTGGAACACAAATATCATCTCACTCCTCAAAATATTTTTTTAATGCTCATTTTTCTGACATGGGCTGATCTTGTTACTCCAACTATAAGTTCAGGGGAGGTATCTGATATTTTGCAGAGTTCAGGGGAGGTGAGTGAGACTGTCAGAAGCCTCCGAAACTAAGATACCTAAAACCGCAGGTGTGTGTGTGTGTGTGAGTGGTTTCTGTATACCTAAAACCGCAGGAGTGTGTGTGGAATACAGGGTGCGGTGGGCGCACTCCTTGGACCTCGATCGCACGTAGCAGGGAATATAGAAAAACGTGGGTGCTTATTTGCAGGTCTCCATAGCACGTTCGATATCGATATGGGCAACCGTTCGATATCGGGTAGGAATTTTTTGCGTCCAAGTGTACACGTGGTATTTTATGGGCAACCGTTCGGTCTTTTCTTCTTTTTTCTTTTTTTTTTTTGAGGGAAGTGTTCATCTTCAGCATTAAATTCCATTACTCTGCCAATCCAGTAACGCTTCTTACCAAGATGTTACTGAAATTCCTGGCAGTAGAAATCCAGCACAACGACAGATTTTGTAAGTCATTTTCAAACCTTCAATGCAAGTCTTTTATAAGCTATTTATTTGCAACACTAACTAAGGTTCTATTTTTTTAGTTTATGTCTTCAAACACCAACATAAAGAACGACAATTTCATAAACAACGACAACTTCATAAAAAAAACAACTTCATAACTTACATTAAGCCCCTAAATAGGAACTAGCAACAACTTGATAGTCAAAACTATTAGCACAAGAACCTAAATATCCATAATCAGATCTGACATGAAGCCCATATCTACCAAGAACTAAACAAAACCATAGTCATATAGATCAAATCTTAACCTCAAAAGTTAAAGGCTTCCAAGACAAACCTACAAACCTACAAACTACATACTAATAATAGTCATAATAGTCGTAATGGTCATAACTGATGCGCTTGTAGCTTGCGGAAGGTTTAGGGGCAGCAGCAACACGGGCTTTCTTGCTAGAGTTGTTACTGTTAAAAGTAGTGACTTTCTTGAACTTGACTTGAGCCTCATACTCAGCAGTGCACCCTTCAACTTTGTCATCAAACTTGACAGAAGACTTGTACTTGACTTCTTCTTTGAACCCTTTGTTGCCGCTCCTCTTGTCGACAAACTCCCCTGCCTTGTGGGATTGGGTCATCTTGCTTGAGCACCCACCACCACCATGGCTTTTGTACAGAGTTTTTGTGGTGTTTTCGGCCTCAAATGACTCGGTTCTACCCCTCTTGCTTCCTGCACTCACCACCACACCAGATTTTGGTGATGGTATTGCAACCAGAAACCCAATGGAAGCCTTTTTTCCTGTCATCTCCTTTCCTTCTCTTCTCTTTGTGCTAGTCTAGACTAGAGAGAAAATGACAATAGAAGGTGGAAGAAACAGAGCGATGGATTTGCAGTACAGGAGACAACTGACAGGGCTATATATAGGACTAGACGGGGTCTGGAGTCTTGTGGTCTTCCAAATTCTACAAATAATTATTTTTACTTTTTTTTTTTTATTTTTTTAACTTTTCCTTAGCGTACTAGACACACTTTTCACTCTGGCGTACTCGATACGCTTTCAGACCGAGAGGAACTATCAAGTTTCATGATGAGATTGAGAGTTATCCATTAATTACGGTACGGTTGTTTGGTGCAATGAGAGAACCGAATTAATACACTTGGGCTCTCAAATTTAGGAACTTCCTTCCCTGATGAATTTGCATAAAATGACTGAATGCAGGTCATAGCGTGCTACTAATTTTTTAAAACAAAAAATACAAGTAAAATTTACGCACTATTGTTTAAGCAGATTTCAAGTGTATATATAGTTTCAAAAAAAGTTTTAATGTAAAACATAATAAAAATATAAAAAGGAAAATCATGGAAATTGCTCTAGAACATGTTGCCAAAGCCTATGGTCATGAAATTTGTGATATGGGCATAGTGTTATGTGAATGAACACAAAATGTGAAAGATGTAAAATGTATAAAAAAATGATGGTTGAATTTTTATTTATGCTGGGTCAATTTTGATATCGTTCAATTTAAATTTTTGACAAAATACAAAGGTCATGTTTGAATTGTAATTTTCTGAAGTTTTTTAAAAATGTATTATAGCGATTTAATATATGTGAGGTAAAAAAAGTGATTGAGAAATATATTTACGAAAAAAGGAATTTTTTTTTTTAATGAAAATTAGCTTTCCAAACAAGGCCTCTAAATTCAAACGGTTGCATCTTATTGTCAGTGCATTATATGAATAAGTGGAATAAAATTCGCACCTGCTTCTTCATGCTTTCACATAGCGTATTAAAAACTTTGTACGCGTTTTATTTGGGAAAAAAAAGAAATATTCAAGCATGTCGCCCTTGTAAGATAACCCTTAACAAAATTCTTGCAATGGAGGGTGTTTATGACCACATCCACTATGGTTTTGTTCTAAGGTTTGATTAAATTTTTACGAGGAGAAAAAGTGTATTCCAAATCCCGCGGCATTATAGTGTGACAATCTCTATAATTCAGGAAGTTAAAGAGTTATTAATCCCCTTTCTTTCAAACCATCTTTTCCATTCTATCAATTCCTTTTTGGCTGCCAAACTCCTTTGGAGAATTCATGAACATTCATGTTAAGAATCAAACAATTGTGAGCAAAAAAAATACCAAATCCCAGTGTATTAGACTCTACTTGGTCACTTAAGGTGACGTAGGAATATAAAAGCTTTTTTTTTTTAAGGGCAGAAATATAGGAACTTAATTAAGATTATCCTGCCAATCTGTGTAATGGCACATGCCGAACAGACTAGTTATTACATTTATTCCTGTTGGAATTCGAAAAATTCTCCAAGGATCTATTGTTATCGTGTTATATACTCCCTTTGTTCCAATATTGGAGTCGTTTTTTGTTTTTGGAATCCAACTTTTTATGGAGAAATAATAATCAATATATTTAGATGAGAAAATATTGATAAATTTACATATGTATCCTTTGAACTTAAAATATTTTCTTGTTAAATGTGCTTTGAAATTTTAAAAAGTTACATTTTCAAATGGCAAAATTGAAAAGTATGTATTGAATTTGAATTGGAACGATCAATAAAGTAAAAACATGACATTGACAAATGCAGGGAAGGGAGTATTAAAATTAAGCCCCCATTGAACTGCTACACAAATAAATATTGCTTTCTGTTTCCCAAGTTGAAATGTCTCTCCATCTCTCTCTCTCTCTGGGTGTTTAATATTATGGTGCCTGATGACTCACGATTTGTGAGTCCAAAACTCTAGCAGATGCCTTCTTTGCCTGCAAAAGGATGACACAACAAATTAATATGTTACAATTCACCAACGAAAATAATTCTCTAATGAATAAACATTACTGGA